GCGGGGGCGGCGCGGCACGCCGCGCCGGCCGCTGCTGCTTGTGCAGCTGGCGCCTGCCTGATGCAGTTGCCTGGCTGCCCGCACCACTGGCCCGCTCCCGGCCTGCTCCGTTGCAGTGGCAGCCTTCTCCCTTCTGGTGAACGACGGCCCAGCGACGATCGACGGGCTCACCCTCCATGCGCCGCTCTTTAATGGGCCTTTCCCAAAGGGCTGGACTGCCGTCAAGGGTGGGTGGCTTGTGGTGGGCGGGTGGGCAGGCGCAGGCCTGGCCCGCCGGCGGGGCCCGCTGGCGGGGCTGGCGTCCGTGCCGGCCACACGCTGCCGCTGGCGCACCCACACACACACACCTCCTCCTGCAGGCAAGTTCACCAACCTGAGAGCCCTGGTGCGCCTGACCCAGGACTACTTCGGAGTGATGGGCTGGCAGGTGGGCGGCGCTGAGCTGGCGCTGAGCTGGCGGCGTGCCGTGGGCTGTGCTGCGGGCGCCTGCGGCTGCCCGCTCGTGGGAGCCTGCCTGCCTGTCTGCCTGCCTGCCTCCTGCCTGCCTCCTGCCTGCCCAGTACCTCCTAGAGCCTTCTGAAGCCTGCAGTGGCGGCCATCCCCTGCTCCCTGCCTCCTGCTCCCCACCCCACCCCACCCTACCCCCTGCCCTCCCCCGCGTGACCATGCAGGGCGCCGGCAACGTCCTCAACTGGGGCGGCCTGTCCCGCCTCGTCTTGAAGCCCAAGGAGCTAAAGGCGCGCACCCTGCTCACCAGGTGCGCTCCCGGGCTGCTCCTGCTGCTCCTGGCGCTCTGCTGCTCGCGGTGGTAGCTAGCGCTGCCGCTGCTACTTCTGCTGCGGCTGCTGTGCGTGTGTGTAGCTGTCGACGTGGGGCACATGGCGTTGGTGGCTACTGAGCACTCCCCGCTCCTCGCTTTGGCATGCGACGCCCAGCAGCTGGCACCAGCCTAGCCCTCGCCACCTTGCCGCTCACCCGCCTGGGTGAGCAGCATTGAGCTGCCGCCCTGTAATGCCCCACCAAGTGCAGGCCTAGCGCCAAGGCCATGCCACTCACCCGCAACTCTGAGGTCTTGGCGCTGCCCCTGCCCCTACCCGACTGGAAGGCCGGTGAGCGGGCCCCTAGGGGTGGGAAGCGGGCAGGCGCCTCCTCTGCCTGCGCCGCGCCTCCAGCCCGTGGGCCCCTGCCCCCTTGAAACGCACGCGCGACCGACGCCGTGGCAGCAACGCCGCACGCCACACCCCACACCACACACCCGCTGCTGCCCCGCTTGCCTGCCGCCATGCACCGAAGCCATGCCGCGCCTTGCTCACAGCCGCCTGCGGCCTGCCTGCCTCCCTGCAGGCGCCACCAGGACCTTCTACGCCTACCACGTCTTTGCCAACGGCGCCACCGACTCGCGCACCATGTCCCTGGGGCCCCATAACCACGCCAAGATGCCCGCCCCCGGGCGCACGGTGAACCCCGGGATCGTGGTAGCGGGCGTGGAGGACCAGGGCAAGAAGGTGGGGGGCTGGCTTGCTTGTTGCTGCTTGCTTGCGTGCCTGCCTGCCAGTCTGCTTGCTTGCTTGCTGCTTCTGATCTAGCTTTGAAGAGGCGGTGCGTCTTGGGTTGCAGAGTGCAGTGGGCGGCCTTGTGTCCTTGGGCGGAGCGCGGCAACCGACCGCTGTGCCTCCTGTGGTCGCCCCCTGCGAACCCCTGCCTGCCACCCCTGCCGGCCTGCTGGCCTGCTGTGCTCTGCTCGCAGGTGAAGAGCCAGATCGCCATCACCCTCAAGAATGTGTCGGGGCGCACCATTCCCGCATCAGAGTGGACAGACCGCAAGTGGAAGGTCAGTTTCTATGAGCGCCGTAAAGCCCCGACTGCACACTGTGGTCGGCTGTTGTTTCCCATGCTGAGCCGCGCTGCGACCGCTATGCCGAGCGCCGGGGCGGTGCTGTTCCCCCAGCTGATGCCGCGCCTGCCTTGGCCTCTGACACCCCCCTTGTGCTGCGCCGCCGCTGCGCCGCAGTTCGGCCTGCGCTTCCGCCTCCAGATTGGAGTGGCGCAGCTGGAGTGATGGGCAGCAGCGCCCGCCACCGCAGCGCTGCCAGTTTTGTTTCCCATCCTCGTTTCTCTGTGCTTGCTTGCTTCTCACTGCGCCCTCCCTGCTCTGCTCTTCCATGCTTCCCTATTTGCAAGGACTGCCTTGACACTACTGGATCCAATGCTGCCACCATGCCCCACACCAAGCTCCTGTGAAAGCAGCATGCTCACACATGCAAGGATGAGCTGCAAAGGGAGGCGGGGCAGCTGGCGGCTGGAGCTCTAGCTCCCACTGCAGAGGCCCAGGGGCCGCTCAGGCGACAACGCCGTGCCTCTGCCACCGTGGCAGCCACCGCTGCTGCTTATGCTTCGCTGCCTTGCCTACCGCCGCCGAAGCGGCAGGTCACAGACATCGAAAAGTCGAGGCTCTCTGTGTAGTGAGCCCACCTGTGGCGCCAGGGAAGGACCAAGGGAGGGAGGGCTGGAGCAGCAGGATCGTTTGGAGGCAGCCGTGTCACATGTTCAGGTGGCTTGCAGGGGTCCCAGGCGGCGGCAGTGTGTTGGTAGCGGCACGCTTTTCTACACGTGAGTATGGCTGGACAGCCAGAGAAAGCACGCAGACGGCTGACCTGCTGGGGAAGAAGACAACGTCTCCCGGCTCCAGTACCGCCTGTACCGCCCGGGCCCGCACAGCCAGCGGGAAGCTGCTGTCCCCCGGCTGCGCCGCCAGCGGGGCGTGCATGTTGAGGCGGGAGCGGCGGCGGAGCAGGTGCGAATCGGGGTAGCAGTAGAGGCAGGCCAGCTGGTCGGGGCTCCAGAACAGCATGCGCTTCCTGCGGGGAGCAGGGCGGGGCTCAGCGCGTGCAGCAGGCGCAGCGGGCGCGGCGCACGTCGCCACCTGGCCGCCGCGTCGGCGTGGGGATGCAGCAGGAGGAAAGGGGCCTGGCACATGCTGCAAGCCTGGAGGCGGCCGCCGAGCTGCCCACCTGCCCTTGACTTGGGTCAGAAAGGAGTGGCTGAGGTCGTAGTGTGTGGGGCTGACGGCTCCCTGGGGCGACACCCACACACGCGCCGCCTGCGTCATCCGCAGGCCAGCCCCCGGCGGCGGCGGCGGCTCGGCGCTGCCGGTGCTCGGTGGTGCCGGCCCAGGGACCGGCCGGCCCGCGGTCGCCGGGCCCTGGGGCAGCGCAAAGGGTGGGCTGGCCAGGTCGGTGTCAGCCAGGAAGCTGGCCGGAAGCTTCGCCTGGAAGTAATAAAACTCAGGGACCGCCTGAAATGCTCCGCCAGCTCCTCCCGCCACCGCTGCCGCTGCTTCTGCCGGCCGCTGCGCGCCCGCCTGATGCTCGCTCGTCAGGCCGGCTGGGTTGATGATCATGTGACTGGCCAGAGGGTCACAGCCCTGCCCGCAGTACACGAGCGGGGGCAGGCGGCAGGGGTTGCGCCGCTGCAGACGGGCCGCCAGCTCAGCAGCGTCCATGCGCGCCACGCAGCTGGGCAGGGCCGCCACGCCTGCACAGGTGCGCGCACGCGGCGGCGCGGCGGCGGGCGGCGGCGCTTCAGCGTCAGGCATGGGCGACAACGGGCGGTACTGCGTGGCACCGCACAGCAGTGTTACCACAGAGCAGAGAGCAGCCCCGGGGCGGTACAAGGAGGCAGCGGCGCCGAAGAGCAGCGGCCCCACCTTGCTGTCCCGCCAGTACCACCGCCAGGCTGGGCTCCGTGAAGGGAAAATGCAGGGAAGGGGCCACGCGGGACCGCCCCTCCAGCCCAGCTGCCACGAGGTACCGCAGGGACCACCGCCGCAGCGCGGGCCAGTGCGCGGCGGCGCCCTTGAGCAGGACCGGCTGCGGCGCCAGGCCAGCCAGCCCGCCGGTGCCTGCACTGCAGTACCCCGCCTCATCCGGTACCACCGCCTGTTCCTGTCCTGCTGCAGCCGCCCAAATGATGGCGGCTGCCTGCTGCCGAGCAGCCTCCTGCCACCAGTCCAGCGTCAGCAGCTCGCCCGCCACGGCAGCAGCAACAACCGGCGGCGGCGGCGCTCCCACAAGCTCAGCCTCCATGCCGGCGCCGGCAGTCGCCGCCCACAGGCGCACCCGCAGGCGCTGCCACCGCGCGGCGCCGCTCCCGGCGGTGCCACCGGCGCCCTGCCTGGCGGTGGTGGTGCTGGTGGTGGAGCTGGTGCTGCTGGAGATGGGTGCAAGGGCGTCAAGCTGCTGGTGTGCTGCTGCTGCTGCTGCTGATGATGATGATGATGCTGCAGCTGCTGATGGTGATGGCGCCGCATTGTGTGCCGCCGCAGGCCTGCCTTCCCAGGGTGAGCCAGCCAGCCAGGTTCCTCTGCCAGCATCCCCCGCAGGAACAGCAGGTCTATCCGCCCAGCCAGCTGCACCGCCAGCGCTGCCGCCTCCTCCAGCCGCTGCTGCCGCGGCGGGGGCTCACGCTGCTCCGGGTGCTGCCGCTGCACCTGCTGCTCCGCCTCCTGATGCGCCTGCCCAGCCTGCTGCATCTGCTGGCCTCCAAAGCTGCCCTCAGGGCCCAGTTCCACATAGAGCTGCAGCGCAGCGGCCAGCTGCGGCCGGAGGGCCGGGTGGCGCCTCGCCGCATACTCCAGGCACCAATAGAGGTCCCGAGTGAACACCCGGCTGCTGGTGGTGGTGGTGACAGTGCCAGGGCTGCTGCTGCTGCTGCTGCTGCTGCTGCTGCCGGCGCTGCCGGCACCGCTGCTGCAGCACAAATAGAGCTCGAACGCGGCCCGCAGGCAGCGCTTCAGCGCCCACCGCAGGCCGCGGATGGCTGCGTCCGCGCTGCTGCCGGGGGCGGCGGCGCCTGGCCGCGCGGCGTCTCGCACGGCGGCTTCCACTTCTTGCACCAGGGTGGGCAGCAGGTGCAGCTGCGGCAGGGCTGCGACGTCCGGCAGCAGGCGGGGCAGGTCCCAGCCGTGCAGGCACACCGCCTGGGTCTTGAGCTGGAAGGCCAGGCTGGCATGGTGGTGCAGCGCCGAGGGAGCGATGCTGCCGCCCCGCCCTGGCTTGCTACCGCAAACGCCGCTGATGGTAGCGTCATGCCCCTGCTGCTGCTGCTGCTTCTGCTGCTGCCTGAACAAAGCGGCCAGCGGGGATCTGTGTGGCAGCGGCGCCGCCTTGAGCTCCACCTGCGATCGCGCAACCGCAGGCCTGTCAGCAGTGAGCGTTCGAGACACACAGCAGAGGGAGGAACAGCAGGCATGATGCATGGAGCCAGCACAACCAGCCAGCCCCACCTTGGCGACATGTGGAAAGTCGGCCCGCAGCTGCTCCGCCGACCGCCGCAGGCGGGCCGCCGCTCCAGGCGCCGCCTCCCCTGGCGCCTGCTCCTCCAGGTGCACCACCACGAAATCTGCGTCCGAAACGCCCGGCAGGAAGCATCCGCGCTGTGCCAGGCTGCCGCGCAGGTAGACTCCCACCAGGCTGGCACCCAGGGCCTGGCTGCAGGCCTCCACCGCCGCCTCCAGCAGCGGCAGGAGCTCTGGCGGCACCGCTTCCATGCTGGCTGTGCTGGGGACCAGCCCCTCCTCCGTCAGTGCCACTGGGTGCTGCTGTATGGGCCGCAGGAGGGTCTGTGGAAGCGGGGGCTGCTGCTGCTGCTGCACGCCAAGCGCTAGGCCCTCCGGGCTCCGGTCTGCCGCCTCCGCGGCGGCGGGTGGACGGCAGCGGCGGCGGCGGCGCCACCTGAGCGGGCCGGCTGCCGCGCTCCAGACGGACTGCGCATGCGTGCAGCTCAGCCCTCGCGTGTTCCGGCAAGCAAGCCCGCTCTGCGCCAAGTTTCTGGTCGGCGCTGTTGGTCCAGCCAGCGCCTGTGCCATGGGTAACTGAGAAACGCAATGGTAGATGCATGCGATTGCGCCAGTTGCGACAGGCTACCTCCTGTCCTGCATCTCTGTCACGCCTGGCGGCGCCGGCGGGGAACATCTCCAGTCATCCTTCATTGCTCTCATTCTTCGTTCGTTTTTACAGCACGAAGGCTGAAATATGCCAGAGCAACGAATTGATGGCAGCGGGGGCAGCAGCGGGGCCACACAAACACAGCGCATGCCAGCCGGCGGCCCCACCCTCCGCAGCCGCGCGGCCCCTGCAAGCGGGCCAGCTGCGGGGCCGGGGCGGGCTGGGAGGGCGCACTTCTCCTCAGGATGAAAACCAAGGTAAAGGCCGGGGCCGGGGGCGGCGGCGCGGGTCGGCACGGCAGGTGGCTCGGCGAGCCTTTCCCTGGCCGTGCGTCATAGGCGGCGCATGCGCGGTGGCCCGCTGCTTGCCACCTCAACTCCCAGACCGACGCGGGTCTTCACTTCAGGTCGGCAGCCACCTTGGCCGCCAAGGCCTCCAGGTCCAGGTTGCGCAGCTTGGCAAACGGCCGCGGCATCGCCTGCGGCAGAGGCGGGCGCAGGTAGAGGCTGGGGTGGCTGGGCGGCGAGGAGCATGGACCAAGGCGGTCAGGCAGCCGTAAGGAAAGCAAGGAGGCAGCGCAACAGCTCCCAGGCTGCCCGGCGCGGCTGGGAGCCAGCACGGCCGGAAGGAGGGGAGAGAGGCGGAGGGAGGCGCACCTGCAGCGACTCATACACCACTCCCTCGCGCCGCACCTCAAAGGTGCCCTTGCGTGGCTGCAGGGGCCGCGGGAAGGGGCCAGGAGGGAGGCAGCGGTCGTGGGCTGGCACCAGCTGGGGCCTGGATGCGGCTGCTGATGGGGAGGAGAAGGCCGGCACACATACACCACCCACCAAGGGATACGCAGGTGCCTAATGGCACTGCGGCCCACCTTGTCAGGGTTGATCACAAACACAGCTCCAGGTACACTCTCCTTCACAATCCCCTCCAGTTCGGCAGCCCTGCGGCAAGCGGCAAGGGCAGGGCTCTCGCCGGTGGGTGGGTGGGGCACAGTCGGTGCGAGGCCGTGCAGCTGCACCACTCCAGCCTGCATGACCCTGGCGCATGCAATGCATGGCCCCGCCCTGCAGCCCCAACCAGCAGCCCCGGAGCACCCACCGCCTCTTGAACACGCCTCAGGACCGGCAGTGCTCTATCACCACCGCGCCAGGCGCCACGGCAGCGGTGGCAGGCGCGGCAGGCGCGGCAGCCTGCTTGGACTTCTTTGCGGCAGCCTCCTTGGGGGCAGAGGCCTTGCGCTTGGGTGCCATGCTGTTGCTAGCAACTACAGCCAGTAGAGTGGGCCGACGCCGTGTGCAATGGTCAAACATGGTGGGAGCAGCGCCAGCGACGCGGGGCCAGCAGCGGGCGACGGCAGGCGATGGCTGGGCAAGCTGGCTGGAGCGGGGGAGCATGTGTCACGTCCAAAAGGGCTTCGCGACCTCACTGGGCACTTGGCGCAGCGCTGCTCGGGCCGATGCTCACACGGGCCGCTAATGAAGAACGCAGAGCTCTGCTAATCACTACCGTGTGGAATTCCGGAGTGCCCTGGCTCGCTGTCCTTCCACCCGTGGTCTGCGTGCCCCTTTGTGGCTGCCGCCACCACCGCCGCGGTACGTGGGCGGCGCACGTACCGCGGCGGCCCGCCCCACCTTGAGGCAACTGTGACAGCACCCGCCTTTGGCACTCCTGCCTCCTGCCGCGCCCGGGTGGACGCACGCAGCACGTGCAGGCATGCTGCCGCAAGCTGCCGCTTACCACGCAAGCTTAGCGGTGTCAGACAGCAGCAGCAACGGTTGCGGCTTACAACGACGCGTTGTTCTGTGAAAGATGAAGGGGAGAGGCCAAAGGGTTGAACAGGTTAGATCAAAAGAGTTTGTTTGCAATGTACTGCGGGCTGGACTACTCGCCGCAAAGTGTGCGCTTGATCTGACCAGTCAGAAGAAGGGAAACAACAGGATGGGATTGAGTAAACAGCGTTGGAGTGAATGGTGGAATTGTGTTGAGGGGAGGCGTGGAGCTAGGTAGGGTACAAGGAAATGCTGTGGAGAAAAGTGATAAACGGGAGTCCAGAAAGTCTCTATGCGGCCCTGCGAGCCGGAGGTGGTGTTGCCGCTGAGGCGGTGCTCTTGATACATGAGCGGGTGCTGCTTTTGATCCTGTCCGATAGAAGTGCAAGTCTGGAACAAATCCCGCCGCTGGCATCTGCTGGGCCTGCCAGGCATCACAGCAAAGGGCTATCTACATCTGCAGCAGAGTAGCACGCCACGTGTCAGCATGCCAGCATGCACCTGTGCTGGCTGCATGCGCCGCCCAGAGCTGCTGCCGCTACATGCATGCTACACTGCGGCAAACCAGCAGTCATGGGCAAGCGCTTACTCGAATTGCACGTAGCAATGTTTTCCCCCTTCCGCGCACTGCAGGCAAGGGGCAGCGCAGAGCACGTGGTGTGGGCGTCAGCTGCCCGGCATGACGATGAATGCGCACGGCGCAGGTTCAGCGCCTGCACTGCCCGGGCCACACCGCTGGTCTGCTCTGGATTTCAGTGCATGGCTGGCTATGCACCCACCAGGCTGGCCGGCTGGCACTCACCGGCTCTCCAAAGGTTGCGGCGCTGCATGGGATGGGCCCGCACGTGGTGAGGCCCTTGCCCGCACAAGTGCTGTTCAGCTTCCTGCAATTGGGAGGGAATCAAACAGAGCTCCGCACTCAGCTGCATGCGGCCTGTAGCTGTGGTCCTCTTCACACCACACAGCATGCAGGGCAAGCAGGCAGGCGGCGTTCCGGGGGCGTGCACCACCCCGAGCCACCCAGCCCGTGCCGCAGGGGCAGGGTCTGGCACTCACGTCACGCCGCTTGCCCAGCAGTCCTCGACGCTGAACGTGCCGTAGTCTGCCCCCGTGACCTGCTGGATGGTGCCAGACCCGCATCTGAGCATCAGGTCGTCGCCCTGCCGTGCGGCAAAGTCCACCACGGTGCTGGGCTGGGTGGAGCTCAGCACGACCGAGTAAGTTGGCAGCAGGTTGTCTGGCCGCTCGAAAGGGTCCGGCACCCGCACCCAGCCGTCCTTCCTCATGTTGCAGATGCCCGAGGGGAAGTTCTTGAAGCCCACAAAGGAGAAGGCGCCGCACTCGGGGCTGGCCCTGCACGTCGCGCAGCAGCTTTCCAGGCTGGCGGCAGCAAACGGGAAGCCCGCAGCCGTGCCGCCGTCCAGCGTCACGCCTTCCTCGGTCGGGCCGCAGGTCGTGGCTGCGGCAGGAGGGGCAGTGCAGCGTGAGGAAGGCGGGCACTTACCACGGGCGCGGGCGCAGCCAGCCAGGCCAGGTGCGCATCGCGGTCCTCCCTCAGGCCGCGGCTAAGAAAGGCCTTCTTTGAAGGCGCTGGAGCTAGTGTCTAAACCCTCCGAGAGGGCACAGGTTCGATTCCTCCCATGTCGAAACTTTGTGAGGACAAACGCGGCATAGCTGACCGGCTCAGCGCCAATCCAAGCCAATTCCTTCGGGAACGCCTAATAGAATCGCCAAGGCTTCGGCACAGGCCTCCCCGGGACCCATTCACTACTAGTGGGGGGTACTGCACTTGGCGCGTCGGGCAGATCAAATAATGGTCTAAAGCTAGACGTTAAAACCGGGAAGTGAAGCTTGTGGAGGCTCTTCCCCACCTTTACCTCCCAGGAACCAGGCCACGGCGTGCATGCTGCCAGCGACAACGCAAATGCTGCGCTGGTTGGGAGGGCCGCCTGGGCGCAATTCAAGGCAAGCAGGCGGCTGGAGGGAGCGCCTCCACTCACATGGCGGCCTGCAGGCAGGAATGGGAGCGGGCACAGCAGGCGCAGCCGCGTCAGCTGCCTGACCGGTCGCCCCCGCGCTGCCCCAGCTTCGTAAATGCGCCTAGGCAGCCGCAGGGCCTTGGCAGCAGCAGGCTGGCTGGCGCAGCAGCAGCTGGCGGAGGGCCGGGGTGTGCCCGGAGTTGATATGCGGCGCCGGCTGCCGGCAGCTGCCCACCTGGCGACGTCTCCCAGCAGGGCCCTGAGGCCCACCCAGGCGGTGCGGCTGGGGGTGTCCCTAGGGAAAGCCAACAGTTCCACCGTGTAGCCGGGAGTGAGCGGCGGGGTGTCAGGGGAGGCGGCGGGTATGGTGAGCCCCTGGGCAGGCAGGCTCCAGGCCTTGCCCTTGGCGGATCCCCGGGGCACCACTACGTCCAGCGTGGCGCCGGTGGGCGTCGTGAAGCGCACGATGAAGGGCAGGGTGGCGTTCGGGGACCAGTTGGTGATGAGGAGGGAGGTGATGGTGACGGACGCGTTCCAGGGCGGCGTGATGCGGTAGCCGCTGGGCAGGGGCGGGACAACCTGGGAGCAGGCGCCGCCGTAGGCCAGCCACAGGCCGCTGGGGTCGCGGGCGAGGTTGGTGGGCTCGGGGCAGCCCGTGGCGCGGATGAAGGGAAGGTCAAAGGCGAGGCCCACGTCTGTGAAGCCGGCCCGGCAGCCGGCGCCTGACGCGCGGAAGCCGCCGTCGGGGAGCGGCGGCGTGGAGGTGCGGTTGAGCGTCCAGGTGCAGTCGGGGCTGCGTCGAGGGGTGCAGGGGAGGTGCAGGGCAGGGAGAGGCGGCGGTCAGGGCAGGCACTCGCTCTTGGGTGCGCCCCGGTCAGGGCATGCCCTGTGGCCAAGAGCCAAGAGGCGCCGTCAAGAGGCAGGCCAAGGCAGGCGAGCGGGGCCCCAGCTGGCTCTCACAGCTTGCACTTGGCGCCTGCGTTGACGGCGTGGAAGCCCTCAGCGCACTTGGCGCAGGTGACGGAGTCGGAGCACGTGAGGCAGCCTGGCAAGTTGCAGCTGCAGCGCAGGGCGCGGGGTGGCACAGGGAGGGCAGCGAAGCGTCGCCTCAGCGCTGCATGCCAGCACAGTGAAGCGGCTGGAGGAGGCGCCGCAGCGCCAAACGGCAGCCAGGCATGCACGCATGCGCATGCTGCCGCAAGCCAGCGGCTTACGGCTTACGCTTTGCCACACGCCAGGCCCCCTCCTGACACCTTCTGCAGCGATGCAGACCCAGCCGTGCACTGCGAGCATGCCTGCAAAACGAGGGGGTGGATGGGGTGGGGATGGGGGGTGGGGGG